AACACACACACACACACACACACACACACACACACACACACACACACACACACACACACACACACACACACACACACACACACACACACACACACAGAGAGAGAGAGAGAGAGAGAGAGAGAGAGAGAGAGAGAGAGATAGAGAGAGAAAGAGAGAGAGAGACAGACGCAGACATACAAACAAACACACGTACACGCACACACCTGATACATTTATAATGCCCATATGTACTGGCTGCCTCTTGGTATTCCAGGGATAGCTGGATAGCTCCAGGAAAATTTTCCTCCTGATAAAACAAACAATATACATACCTAGAAAGAGAGAGAAAGAGAGAGAGAGAGAGAGAGAGAGAGAGAGAGAGAGAGAGAGAGAGGGAGAGAGAGAGAGGAAGAAAGAGAGAGAGAAGGGAAAGGAGAAGAGAAAAACAGACGGACAGGACAAGCATACTGAGAGAGCAGACAGACAGAGACAAAAAGAACATTAAAAAAAAGAGATAGAGATAGATAGATAGATAAATAGATAGATAGACAGACAGACAGACAGGCAGGCAGGCAGACAGATAGATAGATAAATAGAGAAAAAAGAGAGAGAAAGAGAGAGAGAGAGAGAGAGAGAGAGAGAGGGAGAGAGAGACAGAGAGAGAGAGGGAGATAACCACGCAAACAGACAAAATGAACGCTGTAAATAAAACAAACAAATATGCAAAGATTATTGTATGATGATAGAACGCGAATTAACGACTGAATGAATACGCGTGTAAGGGATAAACATTTAAATGAAGAACAAAATTAACGTGAGAAACAAGTCTCAACATCGTGAGAAGGAGAATTCATTTCAGATGGGATTGTTAGTAGAAATATATAACATGAACATTTCATTTAGACCAGAAAGAGCAATTAGCAGATTGACGATTCTTTAGCTCATAAAACAACATTTGTAATCAATTGCTACACTTTGTATGGGGATCAACATCATACAAAAATTATAATATATAAAAAAAAATTTTAGATTTAAGTACAAGTCATTCCCTCCCAATTTACAAACCATTTCAGATTTTTTTAAATTCCAACAGACAAATTTTATTTTTTTTATAAACTACATTAAGTTACTTACTCACTCGCTGTAAAAATTTAAAAAAAAAATCGGAAATTGTCGGGAGTGAACTTTTCATTCAACTCATCCAAGTTAGCAGAGAATGTTAGATTTGTAAAAATGCATCTTGATTAAAAAATGTCAAAACGCCAACTATGATAGATAAGTTAATTATGATTGAAGTTATGTGTAATATTTAAATTACTTTTAATAATTCCTTCAATCTTTTGTCAGTTCTTTGCTGGAAAATTGAAAAATTAATTATCAAAAATAATAAATTTATAATTTCAAAATTTATCAGAATAGTTCAATCAATCTTTTTGTTCTCAAAATTTTTCATTATTATACAGACCGACAGACATACAAACAAACATACATACTATCAGACAGACAAACAGAAGACAGACAGACAAACCACTTACAAGTGTCTTGATGGCATGCAATGACTTGAGTAGTATCAGTAGTTGTTGCCTTCTTTTGTAGTTGGCCAACAAATTCAAACTGGTCGTCGTGAAATTCTTTTTGGCACTGTCCAAGGAACTGGATGTGTAAAATCAAAACAACATCATCATCAGCACATCGTCATCAATTATCATCATCATAATCATCATCTTCCAACCCAAATATCATCATCATTATATTATTGGTTTTGCCACTACGAAAAAAAAACATTAACCCTGTCATTCTAATATTTATCATCCTCTTCATGAGTTCTATTATCGGCATACACAAACCACACCATGCATACACATACCAAGACATTAGAAGGAGATAACAAATGTTTGCTAGCCTTCTACTGGTCATACAAGTCTGAATGGCATCTTGAAGCGACCTCTGCAGCTCCATGACTCGTTCCAGTTCACTGACGTACGACGGGTGGTTCTCTAACACTAATTCACTAATTTTACGAGATACCTAGGAAAAAAATATAGTTATTAAAGGTTAAAAGTCGTTATTAAAGGTAAAAAGGCTAAAGGTCATTCTCTCATCTGCACATGCTTCAGAAGTATCAGAAGGATGTCGTTATTGTTTCATAATAATAACGATAATAATTTTAGTGGTTATAATAATGATAAATCTAAAAAAATATTTTTTTAAGGATAGGATTTTCTAGATGCAAAGGAACAAAAGCAAAATTAAAACTAATTCTTAGAATTAAAAAATAGATAAATGAATGAATGGATGAATGAATGAATGAATAAATAAAATAAATTAATGATTAATTAAAATAAATTAATCTATCAATCAATAAAAAAATTAAATGAATAAATAGATAAAATAAATGTATTCCTTTATTATTATCATCATTTTATTTCAACCCACAGCTTGCAATTGTTTCTTGAGAACAGCACACATGGCTTCAATTGTGTGTAACTCTGGCTTGTCGTGAAATTTCTTGAAATATGAATTAAGAAAAACGTAATGAAATCTGTAGGCAAACAACATACTGTATATAAATGAAAATAAATTAGTTAATGAATGTAAAACTTATAAATATCATTTAAAACTATATAAACAACATAATAATTTTTAAAAATTATTGAAAAGTGTAATTAAAATGAGACATTGAGACATCATTTAAAAAAAAACAAATGAAAAATTTCACCAAACAAAGGGACCTACAGATAATTGGACATGTGTGGCATCCAGAGTTAGGTCAGTGAAGAAGGATTTGTCAATACTCTCAATGGCTTCCTTGTCAATACGTGGATCCTGGACTGCCTGTGTGCAGTGCTATGTGAGAAATTTTATTACACATGAAAAATTTAAATCATTTTCAATAGGGAAATGTTCAATATTTTGCTATAATTTATATCTATATTATAAAATCATTTACAATACATCTACATTTACAATAATCTATCTTCAACATATCTATAGTAGTATAGTCTATTTAACTATATAAATATATATAAACATATATAATAAAGTGATAACAAAAACATGAAATATTAAAGTAACTAAATTAATTTTAGTTTAGCAAACAAACTTCCAGCTTGATGACTCCACTATCAGTCAGCCATTCGTCTGCTAAGGTCTCCTCATCATACACTTCAGTCTGCTCCTGGTCGTTTATCAGCAGGTCATTTTTTTATTGAATAAATTATAAAATAAATCAAAATTTAATTTTGAAGTTCTACAAATTTCCATTTTCTGATTTTCAATTCAAGTTTTTCAATTGTATCTAATATAATCAATAATGAAACTAATAGTAACAGAGAAAACAGTACTAGTTGAAAGCAAAAAAGTAATTTAAAACTTACTCAAATTTTTTTATAATTTTAATACAAATTAAAAATAAAATTGTAAATCCAATCCAAACCTTTCTTTCACCAAGAAGTGACAGAAATTTACTCTTAAGGTCCATTCTTTGGTTTGAAAAAAATATCAAAAAATCAAACTAAAAAAAAACGATAACAAGAAATGTCCTAAACAAGAACGGCCAGCCGGAAATTTGACACTAAACTTTCAAAACGACACACAACACACTCCATCAAATTGAAAATATTTTTTTACATACGTGCAGAAATAAACATGATTCAACTAAACGGGCAATGTTTTTTTTGGTATTGAAGTTAGTACGATATTTTTCATTCGAAACTTCACCAAAGGTTCAATCTCTCAAAAAAACATTCTGATAAGGTCTGATTACCTGAACATCATTACCAAAAAAAAAACGAAGCTTGTGAAAATAGGATATTTACAAGTAAATATGTGTTAACAAAGGAAGAAATACATACAATTATCACATTTATCATCCCCATTTTTTTATAACTACATTATCATTTTCATCCTCCTCTTTATCACTATCAGCTTCATTTTCGTACACCTAGGAGGGGATTCATCATATCAACTATCATCATCATTAATTTTAAAAATGTGTATGTCTTGCTATAGTAATAGAAAAATTTTTTATTTGTACAAGATTGCAATAATGTTATATATGTTAGATCGTGTTGAACCTATGACTTTCACGACAACTCTGATGGTTACCTATTTGGTAAACTGGTAATTAAATTAGTTCGAAAATATATTGTTTATGTGAAATCATGGATTTAATGTGTGATATATATAATATATCCATGTGTGATACAATCAGAATATTCTTGAAAATGTTTTGCCACCAAAGGCCGCAGACCTGCTCAGAAGTGCGTGTTTAAATGCCAACAACCTCCAGATAGAAACATGGAATCCAAAATATGCGACAAAATATTTATAGAAACACCTACAAATAAATTCTAAAGAAACATTAGTCTATTATACCAAATGATTGAATACATCTGGATATATAATTTTCATTTATTCATTGTATATATTTTTAACTAAACAATGAATGCAAGAATAGAATCTGATCGATTAGATTCTTGCACACTAAACAAATATCTCATAAAAAATAACATATTAATTACAACTACACGCATTCGCTATTTTGAGAATTCCGAAACACGAATTCCGAAACACGAGAGAGAGAGGGGGGAGTCTTAGATGCTTATAAAAATCATTAGAAAATTAACAAAGTTTAATGTTAAATGTAAGTTTAAAATATTTTTGGAATCGTAAATAACAAAAAAAACTAAGAAAATTTAAATTAAAAAAGTTAGTCATTAATTTTTTGAGCTTTGGTATGTTGTAGGATTGTCTTCAGCTCTATTTATTTCAATTATTTGAAAAATTACCATTTGTGAATAAAATTGAAATGGCTATACATAAATTTTTCATATTATTGACGTCGAGAAATCAAAAAAGCAATTAATTAAAATATAATTGTTTTAATTCAATTTCATTTAAATTAATTAATTAATTAATATACCAATCACACACTGACATTTGCAAGATTTCTAACTATTTATTCACATCGACAGTTACTTGCACGTTAAGAATTTATACAAAAATATTACAGACGTGATTTGTTCGTGATAAACATGCATCAAGTTACACACACACACACATACACACACACACACTCACACTAACACACACACACACACCACATATAAACTACAACACAGATACACAAACTAACACACATACATATCAGAATGTAGGTGTTTGTTTGTATGTGTGTGTGCGTGTATGTGGTTTTGATAAATTTCTATATTTCTATACTACTCCCAAAGGTTCCTAATTATTAAGTTATTAATTCTTAAAATTCGAAACGACACCTGTGAAACGTTTTTAAGAGACATTTTCTTCATGGTTATTTTAGAGTCACTAATAAGTAACACGAATAAGTGCCATTTGAGAGTATTTGCGCTAAAAAAAGCAACCAAGAAAAAGATAGAGAATTGCGTTTTTAATAAAACAAACAAGTGAAGGAGAAGAAGCACTTATTTGAATTACATTTAGTTAGAAGCCCCCTCGAATTTGTACACACACACACACACACACACACACAAACACACACACACAAACACACACACATACATCAAGTTATTTATTTCTAGACGTATTCGTTACTTATTATTTCTAGACTATCGTTTTATTATTAACCCTCTTCAGGAACGGCTGCCTTGACGTGGCGAGGGGGCTTTTCACTGAATGCCGTTCAAATAAGTGCTTCTTCTTCTTCACTTGTTTGTTCTCTTAAAAAAGCAGTTTTCTACCTTTTTCTTGGTTGCATTTTTTAGCGCAAATACTCTCAAACATAGGTTACATTAGCATCTGTACATACGCACATGTAAATATAACATACATTGTACCATTGTCTTAGCGCCTGGTCTCATCTTTTCATTTCTTTATTTTATATTTTCTATATTTGTTTTTGTTATTCTTTTTTTACTGTATAGAATTATATAGAGTTTGCGCGGTTATACCACACCATACATTCAGCAGGTACGCGGTGGTTCCTGGTTTTAGTGAGATTGTTTCACACCATATATTCAGCAGGTACGAGGAATTTGATAAGTATCAAATATGCTGATTACCTAACAATAGAACGTTTTCAATGGCTATCATGCAGTTAAAAATTGAACTCGCATGAAAGCAAAATGAAAGCAAAATACACTTTTTTTATCAACTTTTTATGTTTGTCAGTGAGGGTCAGTTTGGTTGTGTTTGTGTGTGTTTGGGTTGTGTTTTTGTGTGTGTGTTGTGTGTGGGCGTGTGTTGCGCGTGTGTGTGTGTTGTGTTTGTTTGTGTGTGTTTCTGTGTGTGTGTATTGGCAAACAATTTTTGAAATAAATATTATTACACAGCATTCGATTAAACTTTTTCTTAGTTGAGACTTTCAAATTTTTTTCATAAAAATATCATCTGTATGCGTGTTTTTCAAATCGATAGAAGAGGAATAATGTTAATAATCTTAAGAATGCCTTCGATTCATTGCCATGGACCGTCAGTATAATTTTCAAGTTTGTTTTTTTGAGTAAGTGCATATGTGTGTGCGTGTGTGTGTGTGTGTATGTGTAGTGTGTGCATGTGCGTGTGTGTATGTTTGCATGTATATGCATGTGTGTGTTGGTATGTGTATATACGTATATGTATGTGCTTCTATGTTCATATAATGTAATGTATGTTTGTATGTGTGTTATGATGTAGTAATATGTTAGCTTGCTGGTATATATTCATATTTTTTAATTAAATAACTTCATGATCAGAAGTTTGTGAGTTAACAAGGTTAGATTGACAAAAAGTTGAACTTAAAGTTTAGAAACGTCGTTGTTCAAATAAAAATCAAGCTGTGCAAATTAACGTAACAAAATGTACGGAAGAAACATTTCAGACAAATTTGATGAAAGAACAAGCAAACAGATGAACGTAAAACTGACTGAAGAACAATCAAACGAACAAACAAACGAGTGAACGAAAAAACGGACGAACGAACGAACGAACGAACAGGCACTGACTTAATGACAGAAAGCATATTTTATTTCGACAATGTTCACACACACCTAACATTCATTATACTTTGTAAA